TTCAGTGCTGATGTTGTTACCAGCATTGATGATGTTACCTAGTTGGGTAATGAAACATCTGCAAGCAAACAACCAAACTCAGAGAGCACCAAGAACTTCTCAGTTTGTTTGCAAACTTTTTGTGTGTCTCAAAGGCCACATATGCATCAAAAGATCTGTAACGGAAGTCTGAATGCATCAAGATTTTGAAGTGATGCCCAGTGTTAATCAAATAACTAAAACATGCCAGTTTTATATATCACAATAAACTAGTAAAGCTAACAGTGAACAGGAATTTTAGACTGGCAAACCTTACAGACCAGGGTTTCTCAAACTTGGCAACTTTAAGATGTGTGGACTTCAGCTCCCAGAATTTCCCATTACAAACTAGGGAAGACAGATGGGCTAGTAGCTACTATGCTTTTCTGAATAGCTTTTTCGTTTTGTGTAATGTAAGCAGTATATGTAATGATAATAATGTAATAATAATAAATCTAATTCAGGAGGAAATCCACAAGTCCTACTTAATATCTTAAATTAGAAATGGAGAAAGAAGGACTCTGAGTTTACCCATACTGCTTCTGTTCTGCATCTAAGAAGATGTGGGGTAATATGGATGAGGCTCATCCATTGCACTCCAGGTGTGCTGGCCCCTGCAGTTTCTCCAAATGTGGGAAACCTGACTGCCTAATTTGTGGTAGTGGAGGGGACTGGATTTGTGTTTTATGGCTTGCTTTTCAAATGAAAATATTGCTTCTCTGTTTCCAGCTACTGTAAATATAGTTCTAGTTGTAAGATTCATCCCACTGCATTTTATCCCCGGTGTTGCTGTTGTACAAGCAAACTGGTCCGTATTTTCACCATCTGAAGTTTATAAGAAAATTATTGTTGCCAGATATCTTTATAGTTCATATAGGAAGATAGGATAACAGGTATTACTAAAGCTAATTGTTACATACCACAGATTACCAGAACTAGTGACTATTTCCAAGCCAGAAATAAAGGTGTTGCCTTGCAGGAGAGGAACAGATTATTGGAGCAAAGTTCCAAACTGCAACTCTTTGGAAGTAACTCAGTTTGTTTTCTTAGCTATGGAAATTGGTATTTAATTCAGGGAAAGTGTGTGGAGCATAGCTTCTAGAATTCTTTCTAACCATTCAGAACAGCTCTGCTGTGTATCACATGGCCCAAAAGATAGTAGGAAGGAGGCTTAGAATGGAAGAATTGGCAACTTTCTGAGAAACTGCCCAGCTGCCTCTTACAGTATGGATGTATTGGGGAAAATTTTCCTGGATTTGTTCCCCCCATCTACAGCCCTCAGCTGAATCCAGCCAATTTTCAAGATTTTTCTTGCCCACTTCTCTCTCCACACCAAATTTGATTCAGTTCTGCTAGGTTTTGGGAGAATTATCCTGCTGATGGACAAATGGTCAGGCAAACAGCCTACTGTGGCCCTTTACATGATTTCTTTCCAAGATTTCATTGGACAGGAAAAAATGATTTCAGAGAAATGATTTATAAAAAATGGTTTTAGAGAAATGATTTATAAAATGAGATGTGTCTCAAGAAACTTAAAAGACCACATTTGTTTAAATTGCTTTTTAACTTGTGACAATAAAGATTTAACCTGCAGTGAAAAGACACCAACATAATAAAAGCAACTAAGGTGTTGAAATAACTCTTTATTATTTGCCATTATGCATCAGATGGAACAGTGCTACTTCCTTGGCAGATTTCATGCTATTTTTAATGAATACTTGTATTACTATAGATCAGGGGTCCACAAACTTTTTAAACAGGGGGCCAGTTCACGGTCCCTTAGAATGTTGGGGGGCCGGACTATAGTTTGAAAAAAACATGAGGAGAGGAGGAGAGCCGCCGGACCCGGCATACCTGTCATGTAGAATAGTCCGGCTCTGCGATCTCCCTCTGCGTGCTTCCCCTGCAGCTCCCGCCACACCCCCGCCCCTTCCCCTTCGGGCAGACAACAGCGGCAGCCAATCGGGCG